TCACCTTGTTCCAACCCCTTTAAAGATCACCTTGTTCCAACCCCTTTAAAGATCACCTTGTTCCAACCCCTAAAATCACCTTGTTCCAACCCTTTAAGGATCACCTTGTTCCAACCCCTTAAAGATCACCTTGTTCCAACCCCTTTAAGGATCACCTTGTTCCAACCCCCCTAAAATCACCTTGTTCCAACCCCTTACAGATCACCTTGTTCTAACCCCTTAAGGATCACCTTGTTCCAACCCCCTAAAATCACCTTGTTCCAACCCCTAAAATCACCTTGTTCCAAACCTCCTAAAGATCACCTTGTTCCAACCCCTTTAAAAATTATCTTGTTCCAACCCCTTTAAGGATCACCCTGTTCCAACCCCTTAAAGATCACCTTGTCCCAACCCCTTAAAGATCACCTTGTTCCAACCCCCCTAAAATCACCTTGTTCCAACCCCTTTAAAGATCACCCTGTTCCAATCCCTTGAAGATCACCCTGTTCCACCCCCTTTAAAATCACCTTGTTCCAACACCTTTAAGGATCACTTTGTTCCAACCCCTTAAAGATCACCTTGTTCCAACCCTTTAAGGATCACCTTGTTCCAACCCCCTTAAAATTGCCTTGTTCCAACCCCTTAAAAATCACCATGTTCCAACCCCCTTAAAATCACCTTGTTCCAAACCTCCTAAAGATCACCTTGTTCCAAACCCCTAAAGATCACCTTGTCCCAACCCTCCTAAAGATCACCTTGTTCCAACCCCTTAAAATCACCTTGTTCCAAACCCTAAAGATCACCTGGTTCCAACCCCCCTAAAATCACCTTGTTCCAACCCCCTAAAGATCACCTTGTTCCAATACCTTAAAGATCACCTTGTTCCAACCCCTTAAAGATCACCCTGTTCCAACACATTAAGGATCACCCTGTTCCAACCCCTTAAAGATCACCCTGTTCCAACCCCTTAAAGATCACCTTGTTCCAACCCCTTAAAGGATCACCTTGTTCCAACCCCTTTAAGGATCACCTTGTTCCAACCCCCTTAAAGATCACCCTGTTCCAACACCTTTAAGGATCACTTTGTTCCAACCCCTTAAAATCACCCTGTTCCAACCCCTTAAAATCACCTTGTTCCAACCCCTAAAATCACCTTGTTCCAATCCCTTAAGGATCACCTTGTTCCAACCCCCTTAAAATTGCCTTGTTCCAACCCCTTTAAAAATCATCTTGTTCCAACCCCTTAAAGATCACCTTGTTCCAACCCCTTAAGGATCACCTTGTTCCAACCCCCCTAAAATCACCTTGTTCCAACCCCTTTAAAGATCACCTTGTTCCAAACCTCCTAAAGATCACCTTGTTCCAACCCCTTAAGGATCACCTTGTTCCAAACCTCCTAAAGATCACCTTGTTCCAATACCTTAAAGATCACCTTGTTCCAACCCCTTTATAGATCACCTTGTTCCAACCCCTTTAAAAATCACCTTGTTCCAACCCCCCTAAAATCACCTTGTCCCAACCCCTGTCTGGGACACTGTCAGGGATCCAGGGTGCTCTGGGCACCCTGTCACCCTCACAGGGATGAATTTATCCCTGATCTCTAATCTAACCCTGCCCTCCTTCATCCTA